AAGTTTATCTTTTAGAATATTCTGGTGTTTGATCTGAAAAGCTTTGTATTTCCATAGAAGGCAGCTTGCTGAAATGCCTCTTAAAAATAATGGTCTAATATTCAGATGTGTCACTTTCCATGAAAGGAGCTAATGCCACAGGGTCACACCCAGTAAAAGGTTTGGACACTCAAAGCTTGATGCTACAACACCTGTTAGGTGGCTGGTGTCCCGGCAGATGCAGAGGGAAGATTAAATGTGTCAGAATGATATCCAAGCAGTCTGCAAAGAAAGTATAAAAGGTAACAAGAAAGGGTAACATAAATATACTAATAGAAATATGAAGAACAGGAGAGGTCCATTGCTTGCTGTGAACGTGGAGAAAGCTGACATATTTGGTGCTTTCTTTGTATCAGTCTTCATTGAGATGTTCAGAAGGACCATAAACTTACTACATCGACTTCAACAAAGAGAAATTAGTATAAATCAGAATAAGGAGAAAACTGCTTAAACCATACATATATTCAAGTCAACTGAACCTGCTGATGTTCATGTATGCTCAATGAATAAGAGCAACTAATTTCTAGACTACTAGTACTTGTGCCCAAGAATTCATGGAGGACAAGAAAGTTACATGCAGACTAGAGAAAGGAAAAAACTATTACCTACTTGGAAAGTCAGATAATAGAGAAAAGTTCCTTTAACTTTCATTCTTGGCAATAATCTGTTACAAGTTATCAAACAGTTGAAAAAATCCACCAAAACATAAGTTGTGTAAAGCAAATCTTGTTATATCATTTCTTATTTCTGACTTTCATTTTTATTTCTTTGTGGAAAAAGGGGAAGGAGAATTTATGAGGCATCTTCTTTTCACCTTTCAACACCACCTTGAATGAAACAGGATGGGGAAATAGATTCCAGGTGGAATCACTGTAATGTAGTTACTGAAAATAATCCCTCTCAAAGGCTGCTCTGAATGGTTTGCTCCTGAATAGTAATTACAAATGTGAAATTACATGTGGTTCTGAGGAGTGTAGGATGAAACCAGCTCAACTCAATAAATTCATTAATAATTGGAGACCTAGTGATAAATAATACAATAAAATTTTCTGATGCCAATTTATAGAGGGTTTAAAGGACTTTGAGGAACAGACTTAGATTTCAAAGTTTAAATTTCTTACTAAATTAGTCAATCTGATAAATTTCACTGAAGTGTACTGTGTTTGTTTCAGGGCAAAGAAATCAAATGCACAATGTAAAATAGGGGTAACTGTCTAGACATTACTGCTGGGGATAATCTTGGGATCCAAGCTAACATAAAGTCACAAATCTGATGGGTTACAGAAAGGTAAAGGTCTCATTCTGGGAACATTATTAATAAGTGTTTTTCCCACATGGGAAGAATGTTCTTATTCTGATCTGTTCTGCCTACCCCTCGACTTAGTAATATGTTCAGTTCAGAGACTGTGGACGGACTTGGAAAGATCCAGAAGTGAAGTATACATAAATGTCATGTGTGGCATAAAACTGCAGGTATCAACTTTTGATCCTGAAAAGAGATTCCCACATAACAGGCAGTGATTTCTTTCCAGACCTCTTTCTATGTTTAGCATTAGGTCTGGCCTCACCTTGGCCCATCTTCAATATGTGGGTATATCTAAGCTCCTCTGAAACAACACTTAATTTTAAAAAGTCATCAATAGCCCCACAATATCTAAAAATCCATTCCACAATAGAAAATATGAGAGAGCAAGCCTGGACAGAAAGCATGCAGCATGGTTTCCTTCCATATCAGACTTGAGAGAATCTACATCATTGAGAAGGAAGGGGAGGTTGCAGAAAAAAATAAAGAATTTGTACCATATTAGACACATGGGGAATCACTCCTCAGTCAAGGTTTTCTCTTTTCTATGAATTCCCAAGATATGAGTGTAAAGTCTAATTGAAACTTTTCTCAGGGTAAGGGCATTGGCAACATTTCTCTTCTGTGTTGTTTTCCTTATCTAATCAGAGCTAGGCTTGTGCTGCAAAGGCAGTATAATTCAGTTATATCTCAGTCAGTCACAAGACACAAATGCACAGAACACAATTAACCCGCTGCTCCTGCAACTATTCATTTTACCTCTGGTCTCACGCTTTCTGATGTAAATTTCAGAGCACTGCATTTTTGCAAACTTGTTTCTCTCCTCTCCTTTGGTTACATAACCAAGATGCTAGCCTTTTTTAAGCTTTCCCAGGTTATTTGCACATAAGATTTTATATTAAAAGAAGAACTATCAAATCAGCTATGTGCTGCCTACAGAGAAAAAAATATTTTAATCCACTGAAGTACAGAAAAGGTTACATTAATACAAGATAGTTCCTGCATATTGACCAATGAGAACAGAAGAAACCTAGACAGCAAGGGAAAAATGTGACATTAACTTAACCTTTTTACATATTAAACTGTATTAAAATCTTTCTTTCTGCTCTGGAGTGCAGAGGATTTTATTTGAAGGACTGTGCATGCTCTGAACAGCTTTCATCTGTACTCATTTTAAAGGCTATTTATCAAGGAGTGTTAAAAACACCTCCTTCAGTTGATCTAATCTGGCACTTCTTCTCTCAAAACATGCTAACAAGATCATTTTAAATACCTTCTACAAAACATTCTATCCAGGCAACATGACACAAAAAAGAGCTGTCTTTAAGCCTTTGGAAGATCTGAGGTTACTTTTATAGGATTTCTACCAGCATTTAATTGTTTCATGACATTTAGAAACAGGTTTTCCCAAACTGGTTGAATTTTGTCTGTATTTGGCCTGACTAGTATCCTTGTGGGGGTGCTACAAATCCGTCTTTGTGCTACAGAAATGGTAAGAGACATTTTCCATTTTTTGCTCGGAGTGTGTGCAGCAATTACACCCTGCCAACTGCTCCAGAAGTCAGGGCAAACAGCCCTGCATGGCCAAGCCCGGGGGAGATCTCGGCACAATCCAGAGAGCACCTGTGCCATGTGTCACTGTGGCCTGGATGTCATCAGAAGTGTCTGAAAACGCCTACTGCATGGTACAACAAATGCATTCTTCCTGACAAAATCCGCTAAGGAACAAATCTGCACTGCAAAAATAGGCCTTTGTGCACATAATAATCCTGATTCTTTTCCCCCACTGCGGCGTTTACGAAGTGTCAGAGCAAGGCTGAGAGGTTCTATTCCGACCAATGGCTTTTTAGTTAAGTAACGTACTGGCATATATTGTGTAGAGGATCCTGGGGGAGTTCTTAAAATAGGCTGCAACTCCTATTGACAGCTACGAATTCCTATTGAGAAACACCGTCTTAGTGCTTTTAGTGGCATTCTTTCTTTCTCTGAATAAAAGTACAGACCAGATAACTTCTTGACATCCCTGCAAGTTTTGTTTGATGCTAGGAGTCTTGTTGGTATTTTATATTAGGCACATTTATTTGGTAAATACTATATTTCAAACTCAGGAAGGAGGGAAAGCCTCTGAAGGATTACACTTTCAGTTGACAGAAATACAATAGTAGCAAAGAAAACACAAAACAGAAAACATTTCAACGTCCAAGGCCAGCATAGAGCTGGTTTTGTCAAGACAGGCTTGTAAGAGGAAAAGGAAGTGCCTGTCATCCTGAAATCTGTACAGTCTCCTTAAAAACCCCCTCTAGGATGCTTGCGGCGTTGTTGTTGTAGTGTAGTGGGTACACACGGTGAGGAAGCCCTAGATGCAGACCCAGGCAGGTGTGATCCCACTGAGCAGATGTGCTCCTCTGGCACCGATAAGCGAGTTTGCTGAACCCTCTCAGATGAGACCCTCACGCACCCCTCTTGGCTGCCCATCACGTGGACCTGCACCTCTACCAGTGCCAGGAGCTGTGCCCTCCTTCTGGGCTTCACCTGGGTCACCCCTGCGATGGGGCTGGGAGGTGCCTGCAACGCAGCTGCAAAACATGAAGTCCAAAGGCTCTGGTGATGCTAATATGAGCCTCACACGTGACCTCACCGTGTTGCTCACGGACTCACAAAAACGTGGGTGTCTGTGGTACTGCAGCACCAAACAAGCCGCACAGCTGCTGCTTACTACGCGTGCTGTCTGCCGCGCAGACCAGGCGGCAAAGCTATCGCTTTCCATTGGTGAAAGCAATCGCTCACCTATTCAAGGAGAAAGTTTCCATCATCGAAAGATAGCTCTTCTTATGGAGACAAGAGCAGAACCAAAACATCCCAGTGGGAGGCAAAGCTGGGAGGGAGACGGGGGTGGATGGGAAGACAGTGCCCCATTTTACAGCTGTCGAAATAGAGGCAGAAAACCAATAATGAAGGTACCTATGACTGGGAAGCCGGCCAACAGATGAGTTGCAGAAAACTGTAACCAGAGCCTTTGAGTCAGTTACTTTAGCTGTATGGCTCAGCCAGGTCCTGTGCTCACTCCACTCAAAAACCCTCCGTGGATAGATAGTTCAAACCATGCTCTTTTAAGAACTCCAGCAAATCTCTGTCTTCTGTTCCATAGCCACTAACCTTTCTTTGTGTAATAGTTTGCTTCATAACAACTCTTAATTTAGTGTGAAACTTTGCTACCAAGATTTGGATCTTCAAACGGTGCATCTTTGCTTTTGGACTTAGAAACGCTCTTTGCTCTGTGCAAACAGCAAGTTAGATGCAGCAATGATCCTGAGCCTGCACAACACTGCAAACTAAAGGGTAGCACAGATAACGTTTCCAGTGATTCCAACATATCACGCAATTCAAAAAAGTCTCTTACATATAGAAGACGTGATGCAAGTTGCAACGCATTATGCTGATTTCAGCAGAAGATGAGCAGCTTTTGGTAGACCACGTTCAGAATCCACTTTGGAGGTTATTTAACCTGCCAGTAATATCCCTCAGACAGACAGGAACAAATTTACCTTGATGTGTCTGTCTGTCACTCAGGTAACCTGTGATCCATTGAATATGTCTCTTTCTGAAACGCTCATTTTACTGCAATTCTGTCTGACTCAATATTCTTCTTACCTGACAGGTAGGAGATCAAATAATTGAAATCAATGGAGAAAGCACAAGGGACATGACACATGCCAGAGCAATAGAGCTAATCAAGTCTGGTGGCAGAAGAGTACGTCTGTTGCTGAAACGTGGAACAGGCCAGGTCCCAGAATATGGTGGGTTTTCATCTTTACATTTTACTATGTGCATGAACCAGTATAAGTTATATTGCTTTCAAATTAAGTAGCAATTGCAGATATTTATATTGTAATGTCCTGTGGCACATTAATTACGGGCTTAAGTGCTTACCTGAGTAGAGGTGGGCTTATTCACATGTTTAAGTGCTTCCTTGGCTCAAGACAACATATGTGTGCACATCACTGTCATCTGCTGCCCTCCCAGCACAGGCAATGGCTTGTAAGATGTGCATTGGAGGAAACACTTTGAACTCTTTAGGGGACATCTCTGAGTGTGCTGGGAGTTGCTGATTTGCCCATAAACTGCCCTTTTCCTCCTCTATTGGTACTTCTCTGCACATTTTGAATCACAGCAGATAATCTTGTTGCTGTGGAATTCCATGGCTCAGGTTTAAACTCAAAGGATTAACAATACTGTACTTCTTTCTTTGCAACTTCACCCATTATATTATCTCTGACAACATACACGGATGATCAAGTAGAAGCCAACTCTGAGTAAAAAAAGGAGACTTTGCTCATCATGATGAGAAGGCAGGATCCATTCTTCTCGTGTTTTGTTTCAAGGGGATTTCTAGGACTTTTTTGAGTATTTCAAAAAGTGTGAGTCATTTAGACAATATAGAAACCATATTTCACTACTGAAATGACAAGAAGTAAAAAATTATCCAAAGGTAATTCAAAGACAAAAAGCTCTTTTTTAAAACTGAAACCAGGGCTTACTCTGAAGTGCGGTGTGACAATGTCATATATTTACATAGGTTCTAGTATGTGCACAGCTGGGCCTGAAATCTCACAGGAAAAGGGTTTTTTAAGTGAAAATTCCTTGACTTTCTTATGCCAAGGTCCAAAACTCTATTAAACATTTCTAATATTACTTTTGAAGTTCCAGTATCATTTCCCATTAGAATCAGAAATTGCAGTGGCATATGAAAAATTCAAAGTAATACTTAGGCTTAACCATAAGTGCAGGTCAGTCTTTGTTACCCACCTACATTCATTACCTCTGTTGAAGACATTAAAGTCAGCTCCATTGAAAATCAGTGATTTGCCAGCTGTCAGTATACTCAGTAATTGCACCATTTTCTTCTCTAAACCAGAGCCAGTTCTGTGTCTGGGGCAATACCCAGGATAGTGCTTGTTGCATTTTTTCTAGCTTTCAAGTGCGTCTGAATAAGAACAGCAAGGATGGGTCATAGCCCACGCTTCTGCTAGTAAAGTTAATGAGTTATACATTTGGTGAGTAGGAACAAAGACAAAATGGCTTTTTGGGATTATGATAAATTGGTACTAAGACATTTAATATCAATTCCAGTCGATGTATAATCCTTTCAGGGAGACCTCTAAAAGACATTTAGACCACCTCCAAACCTATTTTGCAGGGAGAGGTGCATCAGTTTTAATGAAAGAACAAACAAACATCCAGGACTGATACAGCAGTAGTAATCCTTCTCAAATAGCAGAATTGTACACTGGCAGTTTTCCGGTTCCTCAGAAAACAGTTTAATCTAAGGGGGGCAGGGGCTGGGGG